ATGTGAGGGGCGAGTGAGTTGGGGTTTGTCTTGGATATGTGGAAGATGGCGCGGAAAACAGGCCGGTTCTCGAGGAAGTCATGCTTGAGCGGAAGTGCACCTATGAAGATTGGCATAACCTGCGTAACATACATCGTAAGCTGCGGTTGTCGGATGGTAGGGGTGACAGCACTAACCTGGTCTAGAGGCATTGATTCCGCGTTCTTTAGGAGCATCCTCGCGACACACCCAGTAGCATTGTCCTTGGCGTTGAACTGGGCATGTGGTGCGCCCTCGGCAATGACAAAGTATGGTCGCAGAGCGGTCAGGATCGCGATGTATTGTCCGCTCATATCCACCTCGCTGTTCTCTACGAGTACCCCCATCGCAAACGCAGCATTGCTTCGCACCTCGGAGTCCTCGTCCGAAAAGCCCTGAGAGATGAGCGTAAACACATCCTGGGTGAATGGCGTTATACCGCCCTTCATCCCAGATATGATTTCACCGAGACAGCCAATTGTCGAAGTACGCTCGCTGAGCGAACGGTTCTTGGACTAAGCATGGACAAGTTAGGCACATATTTGTGCATGTTTGTACGCGAGCAAGGACTCACGTAGTATTTGCTGAGGAGCGGGAACAATTGCGCGAACAACACAGCAAAGTCCGGTCCAAGGATGCTAGCAAAGGAAGCGACAAGGTCGCTCGCAGCAGAGATCAGCACCTGGTCGTATTCGGCTTGGTCTTCATTCTCTTCGTTGTCTTCATCATCCTGGTCAGGATCCTGCTGGCAGAGCGCCTTGCCCTCGAGGATCTCAGTTGCGAACCGAACCATCGTCTCAAGGTCTGCCAAGAGATACAAGGGTTGAGCATGTGCCTCTCGTTTAAAGTAGTAGAGATGGCATGTCAGAGACTTGAATGGGTCCGAAGACTAGCCCTCATAACAGCGTGTGTTGTTCGAGATTTTGCAGATAGGTTGCATCTTCTAAGGAGAGGATAGGTAAAAACTACTTACGTCCTTCAGCAAGGCCAGGTCCAACCTTGGCCAGCGTCTCGCTCAAGCTCTGGCACACATTCGCGACGACGTTCCTAGATAAAATTCGCGTTTAGTCCCATTGGCTTTGAAAAAGACGGAAGCGAGACGAGGGAATCAGAATATACGCGTTCGTCGCATAACTCCGTAGAGTGTCGAAGTGAGCTGAGTTAACGTTGTGATATCTTCATGTGCAAGAAGGGTTGAAACCAAATCAACGATTTTCAACTCACTTGTCATCCTCAGTCTCCCACATGACGAATATTTCGGGCATAACGTGCGTAATCAAGTCCTTGACGTTTTGATGCAATGGAACTTTCTGTAGCATTTATTAGTTCTCCATCGAAGGGTTAACAAAAACCACTTACCACTTCATTACCAGGAACCCATTCGGTGGGAGTGGACAGTTCGTAGAACGTTTGGATAATCTCGAACAACGAAGTAACGGCTGATTTGCGGATGCCTTCGTAGTAATGGGACAATAGCTCGACGAGTTCATGCACGCACGGCTCGACGTACGGCAAGAAGTGGTTGCGAGTGTACATGAACACGGTTCCAATGGTGTCAGCAGCGATCTCCTTCTCGACGGCGATGGCACTGTTAACAGCGAGCTCCTTGTCCTCGTCAACGTCCTCGATATCAATCGACTCGGAATCAGCAGGGACGGGGATAGCATCCGAAGAAGAATTGCCGGTGGCCTTTTTCAGCTCCATAAGCTCCTTGGCTATGAGGGCTCGGTTCAGTATGTTGCGTTCAATCATATTAGCTTCACTTACCGAATGCGGTGTCCTCGCCTCCCTCTTCTTGCTTGCAGCTTGCAATAAGCGCTGGAACAACACGATCGAGGTATGGCGCGAACTCCTCCTCGAATACGCGAGCCATCACGCCGAATATAAGGAAGCTACACTCGCGCAGACGGGCGGAGTCCAGCGACATCCCCTCAAAGGCATTATTCATGACCGGCTCGAAATAGGGACGGAAGTGCTCTCGCCCAACAGCGTCGGCAAGTGTACCGACAGTGTCCATAGCAATGCCCCGGAGCTCTTGCTCACTTCCTTCGCCGCGAAGCACAAGGAACGGCTGTAAACGTTGCATGGTGGGCTGGAAGTAGGGCAAGAAGCTAAGTTTGGCAGCATGCGCGGCAGATCCAATTGCCCCTGTGACAATACCCTTGACCGAGTTGGGAGCGGTATCCAGCAGACCAGAAAGACGATCCATAAGCTGCGAGAGATATTGGGTGATTGAATCGCCAAGGATTTCGAGGAAATCATCGAGAGCAGTGCAAGCAGCTCCTTGGGTATCAGGATTGTTGATCATGTCGAGGAGGATGGGAAGAATGGTAGCATGACGATCAACCACTTCCTCTTCAAGCCATTCGCAGGTACATCCCAGAGCGGACAACGCTGCTTTGCGCACAACGGGATGGGGGTCAGCAAAGCCAGCATCGATAAGTGGCCAGAGCTGGCGCATATGGGGGCGAATAAACTCGGAGCAGCCCTCGAGGGTGACCGCAAACGATGTGAGAGCAGCCTTGCGCTGGCCAGGATCGGAAGATGCCATGTATTGAGTGACGATCGAGTGAAGGGTTGGGAACACCTGAGAGGGAGGCAGCGATGTTGCCAGTTCGTCGATGACGCGGAATGCAGTCTACGAAAATAACTGAGTTGGGTGCACCTGTTAAAGATGAAATACCTTACCCTCGATGGGCATTCGTCGTCCGCATCTTCAGTATCTTCTTCGGCCCCAATGGGCATTAAACCCTCGAGAATAGGCTTTGCGAGATTGAGACTCTGAATCCTGTGTTTTTTACTGTAGCTAGGTTAGTACGAGTACACACTGGGAGATTATCGAACATACTATTTCACGGTCCAGGTCAGCGAGTTGAGTGACATGATGCGCAAACCGGTCTCATAATTTTTGTTTCCTCCACAGCGCAAGAAGAATTCAACCATCTGGGGCATATGCTTGGAAAGCAGGGGGGTTTCCTAAAACAGCGAGGTTAACGAAGCTAACGATGGCTATGTAATATGCTCACCAGAATTAGTAAAGTCTCGAATACATCAAAAACGTTGCGTGCCCCCTCCTCGTTGTTGCTCTCGAGGCAATCGGCAAGGACATTGATCATCCCGGGTATAAGAGTTTGAAATTGTTTCTGAACACCGAATAAGCACCAGCAGGGTGCAGGGCAGCACTGAACTCACAATCTCGGCCTTTTGGTCAGAATCGATGTACTGCGCAACTTGCCCCAAACACCTGACGGCCGTGACACGAACTTCTGCACTCTCCGGATCGCGGATGAGGTTGTCAAAGAGAGAGAAGAACGTAGAGAGGCGCTCCGAAACCTCGTCCATCAGGTTGTCCAGTATAGTAAAAAGCACGTACACGCCGACCTCACGGTGGGCCGCAACGCTAGCAACACATGATTCCTCGACCCAGGGGATAAGCTCGCGCCAAGTAACCTGTTGTGTGCCTCCTTGAAGTTCAAACTGCGCAATTGCGGCAATTACACGAGCGATAGTGTGACGGACAATCGATACAGGCTCCGCAAGGATGACTTGGGTGATCCTGGCCTTGATCGCGCTTCGAAGGTTTTGGGGCACACCCACCCAGAGCTGGCCTTGATGTTGATTGACGCGTTTCCGCAACTCTACAGCGGCAAGTTGACGGATCTACGCGCCATGGTTCAGTACTCGCGCCATTTGAACGTATATCGACGCGTACATTTTGGTCGGGGGAAGAATTGATAATTTCAAATAGGGCTGGGATACAATCTGAGCTCGTCCAGTAGTTCTTTGCTAAATTAGCAGTCGCCTAGGGCTATATGAGAGTGTGCCAAGATGGAATATACGCATAGACGTACTGCTTTGATAGCGTTCGTATCAGGAGCGGCAGTTTGCGCCAGGAGATCGTGAAGGTTTTTAATATAAGTAGGCTGAGGGGCAGGCAATCAACACATCGCCCTAACCCATCCGCCACCAGTGAACGTACATCCATGACTTTGTGAATATACTAGGGCTTGATTTGAGAGGAATTGTCGCAGGGACGCGCCTGGACTCGTGAGTGGACGTAAAGAGACGCGTTGGGTGAGATGGATGAATTCGAACCAAAATTTCTGCACAGACCACTTTTGAGGGTCTCCTCACGTGACATGCAGCCTCTGTTGATCCATTGCGACATGCTCAATCGTCTGCCACACTAGAACATGTATGCGTATATTGCCTGGAACATCCTATTTCCGCAGTTGACGACGTGAGCACTGGGAGATTAATTTCTTTGGGAAACCAGACCAGTCAAAATATACACGTCTGAAAGAAAGATTTACGGCCTAGTGTACATGTTGTGGAACACGTTAGCCCCGAAACCACTACACAAAAAATCTCGTCAAACGTGATAAGAAGTTCTGGTTGATGGAAGCCAAGGCTTGTGGCTGGCTCTGGTTAAGACCTATAAACCAGAGTTGATCATAAACCTTATTGCACCCCTCCCCCGGTGGGTGAAAGTATCAGTACAAGGGTGTTTGGATATCAATGCAGCATGGAATAGATCATGGTTTATGTGAGAAACATAAATTTTTTAAGTATAAGCCTAGCTTGGTGTAGAATGTCCAGCTTCCCTATGCTTCCCGTCTCTAGGTGATTGTCTCTATATGCGCCGTTTCTTGCTCACTTGTGCTCATACTGCCAGGAGATTTGGTTGACATGTCTTGATCAGGTCTACTATGACAAATAAAAAACAGTAAATTCATGAGTCGCCTGCTGTAGCTTAGCCATTTCATCAAATACTGACTATCATGGGGTATATGCTAGTTACGGCAAATGAAGCCAGGGATGGGGCATGGGTGACAAGGGAACCAGGTTACACATGCAACTGGTATGTTACGAGGGAGGAATACTCTAAAGATAACTGAGGCATAAAAAAATTCAGAAAATTCAGAAAAAGGTGGAATAGGCTCCTGGGGCAAAAAGCCAGACAAGAGAGGTAGAAAAAAGAGTGACCTCTACCCGGATTGAACGGATGACCTTGTGGAGACAGAACTTACGTAAGCGTTAGTAAGCTGGAATCACACGCTCTACCACTGAGCTAAGAAGTCTTGCGTGACAGTCTCCAAACCGGTACACGCTTGTTATCCGGCATATAGCAGCTCAGGCGCCACGTTTCGCAGCTTGGCTCCTATTCAAACATTGTAGCCCGACATAAATTGTATATAATATACTATATGAACTAGCTGAGAGGACGAAACAGCCATCCCAGGGGAATAAAACGAGAAAAAAGTGATTTTTCAGCCTTCGACTTGAATGACATTTAGGCTGCGCCCGATTAGTATATATTATAGCTCTGGGTACGTAGAATTCATCGAAAACTGAATAATCCCGATTGTCGCAGCAGTTGCGGGGATATAGGCCCTCCCAGTTGCGAAATTTCAGCATTTTTGGCCCAAATTAGCAAAAATCAGCCAGTTTTGAGGACTAGCACCTCCGTAACTACTGCGTTAACCAAGATAATCCAAGCTTCGGTGTGCTCCGTGCACACAAGTTTGTAACACATACTGCGCCAAAGCTTGAATGTTGCTCAGTCAAAAATCATATTTACTCATTTTACCTGTTCCGCTCTTTCAATTATCTCATATAGCCAATGTATGCGCTTTGGGTCAAGCTATAATGTTGATAGGAGCCAAGCCGTGAGATGCAACCCTTGAGCTGGCATATACCGTTCAAGCATACTACGTCGGTTTCGTGAGTCGCGATACACAGGCTACCCTCAAACAAAGCACTGGCCCCGCGAGGTCCTTATGCTTATCAAAACTATCAATTTTAGGAGATATTCGTTCTTACGTACACTCCCCCAGGTCTACACGACAGATATGCAACGTTTGACCAGCGAGTCGTTCACCGAACCACCCATGTCACCCAAACATCACTAGTTTGTTATTTCCCGGTAAACCACCCTCGTCGACCATAGCAAGTGCTCTCCATCGACGGGGAAAGTGCCACGCAACAGCTAGTCCTTGTGACGAATGATCAGACATGGCCGTGATGGCAGAGCGGGACAAGCTCAGAAATCTTCCCGGCCACCGTTTGAAGCCGAGCCGACCGGATCCAGGTGGGGCGTGATCATGTAATTGTCAATTCCAGCGCTGGAGGCTCACTTGCTGTCGACTACGGTTAAGGAACATGCTTTATGATCCACCTAGCGTCGCAGCCGCTTCTTATTTATCTCGGATTCCCAGGCGTGTTCTCATTCACCCAAAATCAGCCCCTCCTTTTCGTCCTATTACCACCCAGTCCCCCCTAATCTCTTATAATCTCATTTTAACACACCAGAGGCATGCCTAGTATCTCCTTGATAAGCAAGCTCAAGTCAAAAGTTAAACACCAAGGCGAGGTTGCGGTATGCAAGTTCAAAGTCGACGCTGCCGAAGCCATCGGCGTTCCCGTCCACGACACAACACCCATCGCCTCGCTCAAGGCAGAAGCCAGTGAACTATTCAAGAATGGCGATAGCAAGGGCGCCCAGCGGGTCTACACTCGAGCTCTGGCTCACCCCGATTTAGATCCTCACGAGCGGGCTGTTCTGTATTCCAATCGGGCTGCGGCTGACATGAAATTGCGCAGGCGGGTTTACACTTCCTACTCGTATTCTTTGCGTCATTAATAAAGACACAGATTTGAAGAGGCAATCTCCGATGCCAAAAAGAGTGTCGAGGCAGACCCAAACTATGCTCGTGGATTCGAGCGTCTTGCCACTGCACAGCTGGTAACTATATGCGAGACACCTTTCTGACCATTACTTACACACACCCAGGGTCTACATCGCTTCACAGATGCGTACGAGTCCTATGGGAAAGCCATCGCCATTCTGGATGCCATTCCCGAGCCAACGTCCGCTGACATTGCTCGCAAGGTCAAGATTGAGCAGGCCTTGGCAGAAGCGCAACGCAAAGAGGCCGGCCCAGATGTGCTGCTCATTCGAAATGCAATTGGGAATCTACCTTGGGACAAGGCAGCAGGTGAGCCCCTCACTCTGATTCATGAACTTACTCGAACCAAGTTATAGCAATGCGACCGAGTATGGATGCGTCCTCTGACGGAACATGCACTAGCGTCAGTGTTTACGCTCAACACTGTTCGTAAATCAGCTAACTGTGACTTAGGCCTGGATTATTTTGGAAGCGCACGAGGTATATAGGTGCACATTTCGATCAGGTCATGCTCAATTATTTTTGTACTAGGTCTTTAAGAAGGGATGCGATGCACTGTGGGAGCTCCAGAAGAACGAAACTTCAGAGGGTCTTGCGATTTATGGTCGTCTTGGGGTGTGTTTGTGCCGGATGACCAAGCTTGCCCGCATATACTCACACACCTATAGGCCGTGGCTGATATTTCCGACGGTCTCTTGCGCGATGAGCGTGCGTTCCACATGACCACACCTGACTGGAAGGACAGGTACGGCTACCAAGGTACGTAACTTGGCAGGTCTGCATTCACCCTCTAAAGTATTTTTTAGCGCAATACGAGGCTATGGAATATAACGCATGGATCAATCAAGGCGACGAAGCGGTCATCATGCGCGAAATTCGAGAGCGTGTCGCTACTCGCGGCTGGAACGACGTCCGGCCCGCCCTCGACTTGACTGTCCGCGCATGGATCATGCATGCCTTCCTGCTACGCTCTATCCCAGACTATACCACCGCCGTACAACTTTTGCAAAAAGTCCAGCGGTTCTTGACATGGGGTGACCACCAATGGCCAAATGTCCCAACCTCTGAACGTGGGCCGATCTTCGAGCCCACTTTCAGGCGAAGCGTCAGGCGTCTATACCTCCATACCTTGTACCAGGTAATCCAGAATCTATGCGCTTTTATTATGGCTAACCCCTTCGCAGGCCGTTATAAATAACCCCGGCCCCAACTCGCCGTTCTCTCTCGCCGAGCTCAAGAATACCTCAGCCGCCATCCTGGATGATGTTGAACAACACCCGCCCAAGGAAGAGGATAAACATACTCCCGGAACCATCGCCGCTTTTTGGTTGTACCCCACGGCCGAGGCAATGATTATTGACGGCTTTTATCACATGCAGCTCGCAGTCACGACCGTGCCCGTCAACCCGGTGACGCAAAAGGAGAACTTTAGGCTTGCATATGAGAAGTATTTGGCTGGTGCAGAGCGATTCCCCAAGGACGACGAGGTAAGCATCCCTTCTGTAATGCCATGGGCAATGACTTACTTTCATTCGACAGAACCACGCGTGTAAGCACCCGAGGTCCATAAATTGAATAGTTGCTAACCTACTTTATAGACTACCTCAAGAGTGCTCTTGAATGCCTCATGGAAAGTGGTGCCCCCTTGCGCGAGACCCTTCCTCTCATGGAGCGGGTACGCAAAGCAACGCCTCTTATGAAGAACATCTGGGAGATTTCGAGCATGTCCCTTTGCGGCCGAGACGCTGCACTTCAAGCCGTAATTTCCTTCGAGGAGGGAGTTCAGAAGGACCTGAAAGATGGAACGATCACGCTGGACGACGTAGTCAAGATTCCACACACCGAGACCCTCTAATGAAAGAACCAAAGTCAATCCTCATGTATCTGAAACACACATGTACTGTATTTATCTACATTACACAGTTCCCTCTCGTCCACAAACTGCAAAGCCGATTCAGTCATGAATAGTCCAAAGAATTAATCTGTCATACAACAAAGTTACACTAGATTCGTTTCGTCTCGCTCGGCTTGCGTGGGGATGCATCCTTCAATTCGTCACTTGTCGCTGTTCGAGAAGGCGTAGTTCGTGTACCCATCGGGGATGAGGTTGGGGTCGTAAATTCAGCGGTTGCAGGCGAGTCGGTCTCGGAACGTTCCATAGCGGGCCGCAGTGGCGTTGCGGGAGAGTCTACTGACCGCATCGGGCTGTTTGCAGCCGTAGTGACCTTGACAGGTGTGACCATAGTTGAAGGAGCGGTCTTGATAGGCGTGCTCGGAGTGGGCATTTCACCCTCTGTCCGGGTCGGTGAAGGACTCGGCGGTGTCCTTGGGAAAGTCATATCCGGTAATGGCGACGGCAGTCTCACGTCCAGCGACGGAGCCCCAGTGCCTAGTCTTCTAGGTGGCAGCGACGGAGCCTCACTCGGCGCTTCGCCCATACTACCCGATCGAGGGGGGAGTAGCGGGGCTTGGGCATCCATCTCAGGATTCGGAGTAGGATTGAGGGCTGCCGCCCGAGACGCTGGGTGAATCGACTTGCCCGGCCTGGGAGGCAAGCGCGGAGCAAAATCAATGTCGGGGAGTCGAGGTGCAAAGTCGAGGTCCCCAGTCACAGTAGGGTGCCGAACGAGCGTATGAGAAGAGCCGTACTCAATCTTCATCGGTGCTTCGCCAACAGGTTCCGGTGGGAGAGGTGCGTCTCGAACCGGATTGTTCTCTTTATCCCTTTCGGGCGCTTTCTCGTCATGAACCACTGCCCTTGGGGTCTCGGATAACGACGGCTTGGCCGAATGTCCCGACATCGACCCGTTCTTTTCGCCTTTTTCTGGTCCAAGACTGGTGCTCGATCCTGTTGCATGATATCCCGGAAGCTCTTCTCCCGTCGGGTCCTTATCTGTCGCATCAGGCTTAACCGTGGCTCCACTATTTTGCTTCTCAGGTTGCGGCGGGGTGATATTGAAGAACGTGCTCGAGGCAGGGGAACTTCCTTCCGCCTCGCGTTCGCCAAACACCAACGGCGCTGATTGCCGCAAGTCAATTCGACATGTTGGATGTCAAGAATAAGGCTTACCATAGGTGATCATGTCCTCCAAGACCGTGTCTTTCATACCCCCTACACTGAGCAATTCTGTGCTCCCGCGGGGGATTTCATCCTCTCCAAATATCACCGATCCAAATACAATCGAGAGGTTACGTGCGTCCATCCTGTAATTCGTGAACTTGGATGCATGCTTTGCTAAAGGTGAGGGGCGTACTTGTTCTTTTGCGCTCTTCCTGCAACGCGTGCCAAATGCTCCACGACAACTCGTACTGTCGCTTGGTGTACTCCCGGGAGTCTTCTTAGCCTACCGCGTAATACCAGGAAACCGTTCTTGATATGTTCATCTGGACGC